AGATGAATCTTTCGCATAAAAAAGGTTTCTTCTCTGGCGTATTTATCATTCCTCTTCCCATAATTCTATATACAGGGGCGGTGCGGAGCCAGAATTTTTAATTAAGGAGACCGGTAGTGCAAAATGGAAGGAAATATATACACACACATATAATATAACATAAATATTTTAATAAATTATATTCAATTTCATAAATATAGAATTGCCAAAAGAAAATGAAATTTTGTTTTTAAATTTTAGACGTCAATTTTCATGCAATGAAAACTATCAATAAATAAAAAATAACATTTTAACTTGGACAAAAATTTGACATAATTTACTCATAGATAGTAATCAGGTTCTAAAAATTGAGATCTTTGGGCGCATTAAACTCATAATGCTATACTCTTTTGGTTCTATTCATGGGGTAGATAAAGATTTTTAAATTTAGACCTATTTATAAAACACTTCAATGACTATTGTTTTTATCTTTATTATCATTTTGCCCCTATTAAATATTGAGAATGTTATTAAATGCTAAGATACTTTTTTTTAGTATGTTTTGATAAGAGTAAAGTTAAAAACTTATTGAATTTTTAAACAGAATTAACAAAATTTAAGGTTTTTATTGATTTTAGTAAAATATACTGAAAGTAACTTACTCCTTCCGTTAAAAAATATAAGACATTTTTAACCGAATCTTACCTTCAATAAAGTAGTTACCTACTTTTCAACTAACCTCATCTTTTATATTTATCCTTATTTATCCTTATTAAATATCCTACAATAAATATAAAGCCATTATCAATAGGGTACTTTTTTTAAAAAAAAGCAATAATTACACCTTGAAAGATTAAAAATGTCTTACATTTTTTAACATTTAACTTTTTAAAAAATGCCTTACATTTTTTAATAGAGGGAGTATAAATTAATCCAAAGGGAGTAATTTATGTTCCAATTTTTTATTGGTTAGAAAAATTTGAAGAGTAAAACTTCTTAGAAATATTTTAGCATTAAATGATTTAAATGCATAATTAAAATTTAAAGTTATACTCAGTTTAAAAAAAGCAAAAAACTTATATACTTAGCCTTATATACTTAAGGTGTTTGTTTTCAATTAAATTAAGACATATATATCTATTATAGACTATTTATTATATAATAAATTCTTGTTATTAATATTCTTGACATATTAAAATGTAAATGTCTTGATTTAATTGGATAAAAATATATTAAATATATAAGAGTAAGTATATAAGTCTTGTCCTTTAAAAAACTCTATTGCTTACTCTTACATTAATTAATAATTTAATGATAATTTATGACAATAAATATATCAACACAATAATAATAATAATCAACCATCACATAAAATAGATCTCATGTTTAGTATGTTTTTTTAGGCCAAAAAAATTATTCCTTTTTCAAATATTATTATTGTATGTTTAGTAATTAGGTTAAATTTTGTTAATACCAAATACAAATAAATATATTATCTAGTGCCAAAAATATATAATTTCTTCATTTTAGGAAAAAAATAATTTAAAAGTTATAAGGGGAGGTTGTAGCTCTTCTTAGTCTCCCTTATCTCTCTACCATTGTCAATACACACACACAAGTGCATATGCATGGAACCAATTTTAATTTGCCGATGGTTGAAGCAAACGGAGTGTTTTGTGTACGGCTAATGGCTGCACGCTGGCTGTCTCTACAAGTGTTAACATATCTTCACCAAAGGGGTCCAAGCTCAATCAGCAAATAAGTATTAAAATCTAGATGAGGAACAAGGATGACCAGATGCAGCCAGAGAATCAGCAATAATAGTAGCACGACGATAGTAGTCAGAAATGGAATCGCCACACTTTTTGAGGAAATAAGTTGTTGATGAAGCTGAAGAAATTTCACCTGAGATTGTTGAGAGAAAACATTCTCTCAGCAAACCATAGGGTCCAAGACGACTTGTGCTTCATAACCAGAGCAACAAACTTTTCAGACAAAGAAGAAGTAAGAATAGCAAGAACCAACGTAACTGATCTTTCTCAAACTAGCGAGCTTAATCTGGATTGACAGAACCATCAATATTTTTCGGTGCTACAATGGGAATAGAACCATCAATAATTATCATTTGTCAATCAGACGAAAATGAGAAAAATTAGATGGAGCAGTAACATTAGCATTAGACATGTTAGAGGAATTAGAGGTAGAATCAGCATTAGTCGAATATGGTGTATTTGGTTGATGATTTACGGTAGCTGACAAATGTCAAAGGCTCTGATATTATGTTAAGCCATAAAAGATAAAGCAAGGAAATATTCCTGAATTCATTTCTCTTCATCCATAGTAGTCCTCAAGCCTGTACAGTACTAGGAATATATACACAATGGAGTGCCACAAGATGTGGACACATATACAAGAGATATAACAGGAAAAAATTATAGAGCAATGAATATGTGACAGAATTGAATGCTCCATTTCCATAACTCCTACTATTTCTATAATTTTTCTATCTATAAATTATAATAAGTGTTTGTAACTTTCATAAGCTCTCAATAAATGCTTTTAAGTATTTTTAAATCTTGTAATTCCCTTCATTTAGAATGAAATTATTTCATAACCTCTCCATTAACATTAATTTCTTGTCTAATTGAGACTAATATAAATAGCCTTCATTTTATTGTATTCAGACTCAAGAAAGAGCAGTACAATTTTTTATCAAAGTGAGAATCTTTTCTCTTTTTTCCTTGGCTCCTGGGTTAGAATATGTATATAAAAAAAAAAAACACTTAAAACAAAATTATTTATTCATGGGCTGGATGGATTGGGCTTGGACCCTTTTGGTGAAGACACGTTGACAACCTGTAATTCCAAATGAGTCATACGTATACGTGGATGTCTATGTAAAATGATCCCAAAAATTATATCTGTAGTTGCTCAATAATTGGCCCCTGTGAAGTCGACACTGGAGGACAAATATGAGATGAGAGATAAATGAATCATCGCATTATTGCTTTCAAGTAATATAGAGGTTTGATGGCAAAATAAAGCAAATTCAGTGCTCTATCGTCCTATTTCTGTAGTCCCCGAAGCCAATTCACAATGCAACAGCTTCCCCACTTTCCCTTTGCACATATATGGTTAATTATTAACAAACGCAGACCACCCGAGATAGCTGATCACGTGCAAGCTCAAGGAGTAATAAACCACAACCGGAGATCATTGGGTTTGATTAATGAAAGAATCGTCATTCGGGATCCAACTCTACTCTCCGAGACAAATTGGATGTTTGAAGGTTAATTGCAGCTACACTTGTCAAAACACAAACACGCACAACTTAATTTAGTTATATTGCACCCTTGGGCTATATAGAGATAAGGTGCTTCTGCTAATTTCCCAACATGACCGATGGTATTCTCTTAACTTGAATAACTAGATGTATAAGGCGCTTGACAAATCCATAGTACAGTACAGGTGCAGAATTTTGAATATGCAGGTTAAGCGCGCGGGTAAGCGATGAAATGCAGTGGAAACAAAAATTATACAAGCATTGTTTGTACTCAAATTGTGAATTTAAAGGCTTGAGCCTAGCTCAACTTAATTGACTTTAAAATAATTATACATAAAAAAAATATTTACAGAGCCTTAATCATTAAGTTAAGACCATCACCCATGATGAATGACTATATTGAAGAAAGTGCTTCCTAAATTTAAGAAAAGTAGTAATCATGGAGCTTAGGCACCAAAACAGGATCATCTATAAATAGAGGAGCTTTCTCTCAACATAAGGCATTAGCATCAACAAATTATCAGTATCAAACTCCACGTCTGTTCCTTTATTTATTTTTATCATGTAGTTTTAGTATTTATTTTTTTATTGTATGGCCGGCATAGTCCGCCACATTTTTCTTTAATTAATGTATCCCTGCTTACTTGCATCTACATTAATTTTTTTATTTTATATTTTTACATTCGGATAAACTATGGTAAAGGAGCTCAGGCTTCGCGTTTGATTAAAAGTTAGTTTCTTTTATCTTTTTGAGACTCTACATTTCTATATGTCTCATGACACTACATTTGATATTTGTTGTTCAAATAAACATATAATGATATACATGTTGGGGGGGGGGGGACGAAAACAGAAGGTGATCAAGTAATGAAATCTGGTGCGTATATATTTTCAGGGACGAACTTTTGCTTTTTAAACAAGGGAATCGGTTGTTGGAGTTGTTTGGGGCCGAGAAAACAGGGAATTTTATATGCTTCGTGGTGATGGGTGGTTGTGCTTAGTTGTGCGGTGAGGTGAAGACTAAAGAGAAGATGCCGTTGGAATTTGGAATTACATCATATTGTGGAAAAAATGTAATGTCTTAAATTTCGCTGCCACCTTTATTTATCGTTCCATTCCATCCATACGCCATTATTGTTCTCTGATTTGCCATGTCTACGTTTTCAATTAGTAGCTCCTAATAATTGATACCTTCCCCGCTCGGTTCACTCGGTAAATTAATTGCAAAAAGGTTTTGGAGGGCAATCATGCGTTGGCTCCCGCAATTTTAGAACAGTTGGTCCCGACATCATCCTCACAACTTTTATTTTTTGCTGCGCGGTCACGCTTATCCCTTTGGCCGCTCATCATAATTACCTCCAAAAGTTTACACCATTCAGGTAAGCTGCTCCGACTTCTATAATCGACACGCCACCGCTTCATTCAACAACGACTACGTACGTACTTCCGGGTCCGTCTAGCTAAATCAATAATCAATGCTACTAATAATTCCTGCGCCATTCATTAATTGGAAAGGGTTCCATCCCCCGAAATAAATAATCAAGAGGGGGAATATTTTAAAACGCCTATGATTTGGAATAACTGGCTCTCCACGTGACTCCACGATCGCGCTCGAGTCTCTCTAATTTAATCGCCCCATTTTTGGGTTCAAGACTTCAAACAATAATTAGCAAAAATAAATAAAGCAGCCTCAGCATGCATGCAATAAAACAATATGGAAAGATGGCGGGCTGACTCGGAGCATGTTGACAACACTTGAGAAGTGGTTTTATCTTGTTAACAACTTAAACAACCGTAATGTACAGCTCTTACACCTAAGCCTATCGTTTACCACAAGATTTCCCCCCTCCCCCCTAATTATCCTAATCCCCTTTTCTCGCATTCTTCCCTTCTTCTGTGTACCCTCCAATTACAGTCCCTTCACTGAATAACTGATCCCTAAACACAAGCGTCAGAATTCTGTTAAACAAGTATCCCGCCGTTTCGCCGGTGACCGCGATCTTAATCTCTCCAAGTATTCCCCTATGTCCGCCCCGCCGGCGCCCGCCAGCCCCGTCCAGTCCCCGTTCTCTCTCGACGGAATAAACGGCGGCCGTACTACCTCTGTTAGTAGGTCCCACCGGACCCCTTTGAAGAACCCGTGCTCCTTGATCTCGCTGGCACCCCGAGCGTAACCCAATCGCTTTGTGGGGTCTTTCTGCAGCAACCGTTCTATCAGGTCTGTTAAGGTCGTTCGCTTCCCTGCGAATTCAGGCGCTTTCGTCACAACGTTGCAGAACGTTTCTTTCCGATTCCTTCCCTTGAACGGCGTCGTGCCGTATAACATCTCGTACGTCAATATGCCCAGGGCCCACCAGTCGACGGCGAACCCGTGTCCCTCGCCGCGGACAACCTCGGGCGAAACGTATTCTTCGGTGCCAACGAACGAGTTAGAACGCTCCCCGTTGGAGAAACTCGCTTTCCTCCTGCTCACCGGGATGACTCTGGCGGACTTGGCCTTCTTCAATCCTCTTTTGATATGAATAATATCCTGTGGGACTGGAATCCAACGCGTGAAATTCCGGCGATGCTTGCCTCGGTTGTCGGACAGATTTTGTTCGACGGTGATGGCATTTTTGATAGTTTTGGGGGCGAGATTTCGAGACAGATCGAAGTCCGTCAGGGTCACGTGACCGGACTGCTGGACGAGGACGTTTTCCGGCTTCAAATCACGATAGGCGATGCCCTGTGCGTGAAGATGCTCTAATGCGCAGATGATCTCTGCCAAATAGAAGCGAATGACGGCAGGGGCGAACACCCGATCAGTTTGACGGTAACGGAGGACGTTGAGGTCGCCGCCCGGACAAAAAGGGATGGCCCAGGCCAAGAATTGATGGTTCTCAAATGTCCCTAAAAGGGAAGGAAGAAACGGGTGAGTCAAGCGAGAGAGGACATGGATTTCCCAGCGGGCACGACGGTCGGTGTCGAGCTTGTTGTGGACAGAGGATTTCTCGACGACCTTGAGGGCGAAGGGGCAGCGAGCAGAAGGATCGGCAACGACGTCATTGACGAGGAAGACGGTACCCATGGCACCCTTACCCAGGACCTTGAGTGCTCTTAACTCGTCTAGCCTCAGCTCCGGCGACGGTGGAGTTGCTGAATCCATATCTCTCTCTCTCTCTCTGATGGTGAAGGAAAGGTGTTGAGAGAGAAAAAGATGTGTTTTTTCATTCTTCCCACGATCGGCGCTTATATATAGAGCATTTTGTTTTTCCCTCGGTTTGTTTTTTCCTTTCTTTGCGATTGTGATAACATCTTTTCTGTTTTTTATTTGGGGACGTGGGTGATATTAAATAATATCACTTAGGATGCAACTTTATTCGAGTTTATTTTGTCGTGCCTTTTAACACGAAGATTAATATTTACATTTTCTATATCTTCTAGAAGAAAATAGGAACGTTAATCACATGATTAACTCATCCTTGTAATAAAAAACACAAGGAGGTCAGGAAAATAAAACAAATTAAAAGTCTTAGTTTTATACTATATATGTAAACGCACAAATACGGAAATACCCAAGCTACATGCGTGGAAATTAAAAATAGGAAAACTTAATACGCAAATGCATGGATGCATGCGGGAAAATTAAACACGTTGATCCCCATACTTTGAAATGATATTATATGGAAGCGAGTCCGGAAACTCCAATTTAAAGAATAATTTTTAAACGGCTGCTTAATCTTTCCATAGTTACCGTAAAGAAAGTGAAATGCATGGAGTTCCGCTGTCATTCGATTCGAAGAAGGTGATGGCCGTGGGAGAAATTGGCAGACAACAGGCATGAAGCAAAGAGGTCATGTGTTTGGTGTCCAAGGTGGATGTGAGTCCGAGTATGTTAATATGAAAATGAATTAAGAGGTAGGGATATTTTGATATCTATAATTAATTAATACATAAATGAGGGTATCTCCTCGCAATTTGATGAATTGTGCATGGCTTAAATCAAGCCCCGTTAATCAAGTGTCGTATTGTGTGGGTTGGAATAGGTTCTATTAAATTAAAAGCAAGAGGCATCCAGTCCATGTGGCGGTAGCCACACGTGCACGGCATGAAGAAGGAGAAGAAAGTGAGGGGTACGAATGGACAACGAGTTTGTACCATCATCGTCACATGGGGCTCCCCCTAATCGTGCACACAACCCTACTTTCCTCCTATATATTAGCAGTATGTATTAATTATTATCACTATCATTTGCTCCCTTTAATTTAAAATATAAGTAATTTTTTTAAAAAATTCCATACCAATAAAAATTTTATTTTCATAAAAATATATATTATTTTTATATATAGTTTCAATTATCAATACACTTTATAATAAATAAAAAATATATTTATATAAAAATTTAGATTAATAAATATAAGAGGTAAAATGAAAAAAAATTACATTTATTAAATTATTTATATTTTGAATCAAAATTAATTGGGAAGCAGTGTGTCTGTTTGAAACTATTTTTTATTTTACTGTTTTGAGAATAAATATTTTATAAAACATGGTCTGAAAATAAAAAATAATAAAAATAAATATTTTTTCATTCTTTTTTATTCTTTAAAATAATAATCTCAAAACACTTAAAAATTATTTTTATTTTTTTCTTCAGAATAATATTTTATTTTTTTGTTTTTTAAAATATTTTTTAAAAATACATTACTAAATAATTTTTTTTATTTTCTTATTTTGAAGAATAAAAAACTATACTCGAAATAAGTTTTCAAAGAGGCCCTATATCTTCCATTCCCAATCCCCATGTGTATTCCATTCGCTCTTGTATTATATCTACCGCTGAGTGGCACCCTTACTTCATTCATATTCTCCTATCTACAAATTTTCATTCATTGCCACTATTTGTCTATTTTTATAAAAAAAATTAAATAATTATAAATTCAGAATCTAGTAAAGTTTTCAAGTTTTAAATATAACTCTCAACTTATAAGTATGATTCTTGTTTTTAACTATTTGAATCCATTTATGTATATCATTTTTTAAAAAAAGTCAATTGTCATTAATTCAAACTTTTAGAATTTAAATACCATTCCCATAAACTTATGAACTCAAATGTAATTATTTTTTGATTAATGGATTAATAGATGAAATCCATCAGAGCTGTTGATTTGTTTTAGTTCACCCGCCGAGACCATATCCCTTGTCGCCAAATTAACTAAAGTTGGAATCCAACAAAATAAAATGGACAAGAAATATATTAAAAAAAATTGAAAAATGGGAAGGCGATTGGCTCCTCCATCATTCCCTTGTTCCACAAGCAACTTTTGGAGAACCGCGACACATGATATATTAATTACAAATAAGAACAATTCTTTGTTGCGGCGAACAAGTGGAGGACACGATGACGATGCTTGCTTTAATCAACTCGAACATGGTCTCTAGCTCCCCGGATAAGTTAAGGCTTGTATTAACTTGTCCAGTATTTCATGTGATTCTGACCAAAGACCAATCACAGATCATAATTAATTATTAATTAATTTACATAAAAGCAGGACGCCAACTAAGAAATTATCAGCAGTTGTGGAAATTAAGGAATTATTGAAGGGAATGGGGTACATGGGTTGACCGTGTGCTTTCAAATCTCACAAAAGCTTCAAACTCGTGCGTGATGATATCCGGGTCAGGTAGTGTATATACATATCATCCTCAACAACATATCTTCATTAGTTTCGAGAATTTTTGCTTTTTGGGTTTCATGCTGACAGGGGATACATGTGTGAAAATAAGAAAACAAGAAACACGGGGCAAGGCGGCGGCAAGCCTGTATTTCGTTTCAAGGTTTTAGTACATAAATTAAGAAAATACAATATGTTATAATGCTGCTCCGAACTTGAGAAAATAGTGAGGATATGCAGGGGTACAACTAAAATATGATAATAATTATTGTCTTGAATTTTAAAATAATGGAAAAACGGGAACAAAAATTTTCTTCGGAAGTAAAAGCAGTGGTTGGAAAGAAACGGGGTACAGTATATTCGTATTCTGTTCCGCCCAATTCCTATAGTTCTTTTCACTGTCACCGCAACAATTTTTTTTAGGCAATAGTTTTTATTTTAATAATTTTAAAAATGTTATCAAATATAGATATAAATAACATTTTTTGTGTGTTACTATTAATATCTACTTTAAGTAACAAATATTTAGTAATATTTAAAAATTATTCCAACATTTTTTAAATGCTGCAATAAAATTTTTAAATAGACAACTTAAAACACTATTGCCTATTATGACACTTTTATCATAACATTTTAAAATTAGTCCTTATTTTAATAGGCAAAAAAAATGTTACTTATAAATCTTCTTTTTGAAAATATTTAAAAAAACTGTTGCCTCTAATATTTTTTTAATAATAAAAAAATATTTTTTTATAAGTTATCTATATTCTTTTATTTGTTTATTTATTTATTTTCTTAATTTTCCATTTATTAATTAGAAAAAACTAAAATTTAATTTAACAATTATCTATATGTAATATTTTTACATTATAATAATTAAAAGTTTTGTTGAAAGAGTGGTCACAGCTATCTTATTACTTCAAGTGAATTACAATTCGAATCTCAAGTAAGGAAGTAAATATTAGGGATTTTTTTCTATTTTTAAAAATTATTTTTTATTTTTAAAACTAGAAAAATTTAAAAATTTATTTGAATAAGTGTTTTTCATTTAATTATTTTCGAAATTATTTTCATTTTTTGTTTTTAAAAACAAAAAAATAGAAACAACTTTATCATTTTATTTTTTTATTTTTAAAATACACTAAATTTGATTATTAAAAATGATAGTTATCTTGATCAATTTTTATTATTAATCATCACTATTAATTACATATAGCTATCAGTATCAGTCTATTTTTCAAATTTTAAAACTAACAAATTTTCATTTTATTGTCTTAAAAATAATTTTAAAAAATTTATTTCAAAATAGTTTTTAAAAATAAAAAATGAGAATAGAAATCAAACAGGCTCTTAAATTTTGGTTATTTAATATTTTTTTAACAATTCTTAAATATTGCCTATAATTATATAACAAGTAACGGATAAAAATTGTTGCTTATTTCAGTACCCTAAAACTATTGCCTATTGTTTTACTGTATAGGCAATGGTTGTTTAATTTGTGGCTTAAAATATGAAAAAACCATTGTTTTAGACTATAGAATATAGGGGCAAGTTCCATGCCCAAAAATCATTGCCCATACCTATATGCAACAGTTACCTTGTAGCAACGGTTTTTGGCTACTGCCACAGGAAAAAAATGTTGTAGTGTGCGCAGTCGAATGTATTGCACGAGGACAACATTAATCAATATTACTAGTATATATGAAGGAGTGAAATCAAAGTCCGAGATTACGCTAACCAACCTGCCGTGTGTGGTCATATTAGAGGCTCGTATAGGTTATAGTCCTATTATCTACATATCCATACACACAGCCACGCACAAAAAGACACATGCTTGTTTAAATCCAAGAAATTTAAGGAAGAGGTACATGAAGCTGTATAATTAGTTAAGGAAACCAACAAAAGGCTTGTCATAAACAAATGAACACTTGCAAATATACAATACAACTTGAGCTCACAAATATCTGCGTCTTAAGTATGAGAGAATTGGATTTGGATGTGCTATGTGTTAAAAAATTACCACGGACTCAGTATCTTGATGCAGGCCTACTCAATAGAGCGTTGATTATTAGGTGAGACCTACATCAGGTAATGTAAAACTTGATGTTGATGGCTCATTCAAATATGAGATTGGTAAGTGTGGTGGAGTAAACAGAGACATTAAATGTTTTTTGGATTTGTGGCTTTAATGCTAACATTGGTAATTACAATAATCTCCATAGTGTCCAAGTTTTCACAAACTGTGTCAAGGCAATTAATCTGATAACTCATTGTCATATTGTCCAACACCCCTAAAGAGATATCTTCAACCTAGCCAAATTCTTACTATATAGGGATTGGAAGAGTAATTTAAATTTTATGTATAGAGAGGCTAATACTTATGTTCATATGCTAGCCACTCATGCCTAAAGCTTGAAAACCATGCATAGCAATCTTTCATGATTTTAATACTATTTTCATTCCAAAAAACGAAAAATTATCTTGAAGTTTAATCGTGATATTTAGGGTAGAGTTTATTTGAATAGGACAGCCCTTAGATAATTGTTTCCCAGAGGGAAAGGGGGGTTTTTTTATAAAAGAATAAAGAATTAGTGGCACTAGTTAAGTAAAATCATCACATTTATTATTT